CACCGCGATCACACGCATAATTATCCCGCAGTAGTATGTATAATCCTAGGCGGTATACGTGCGCACACCAAATCCGGATGCTGAGATCATTGCAATTAGTCGCGTTGAAATGCAGCATGTATTGGAGCGTCAACTATTGCGGGGAGCGTCGTTACAGTTTGACCACAGCGTATTCAGAGATTTCACGATGATTAAAATAGTTGCCTATATGTCATCGTTATGTCGAATTGGAAATCAAAATGCAGCAAATTTCGTTGCAAAATTATGTCTCGAATTTGTCATCGTTGGTTATCAACAATAGCGTGATCAGTACAATAGTTGAATATATGTGCTTTATTTACACCAAGCATTCGCTGCTAATGTGTCAACTACATATTAACGGTAAAAGTAACGGTTATATTTATAACAAATTTCGAGCAACGCCTTAACGAGTAAAAGTTTGATCACACCTAGTTCTTTTAACACCTGTTCGTTTAAAAGATCGCTTTTAAGCAAGATATGTTTCCAGATTTTGCCTAATAACCCTTGGAGATCGTCTTGGGCACCACATTGAACCAGCACGTCCTTTCGGTCCATCTGTTCAGCTGGAACATAAGCTGAAGTTGGGCTTCGTAAACGGAGCCTTCAGTTGGTCCGATTTGGACAGAAGCAATAAGGTATTGTTTCCTTGGTATGATGTTGGTGCAGTTTGTTATTGTGCTGTTGGACAGATTAATGAGCTGAAGATAAACAAAATGGATAGGTAATGCACATTATTTTCCAAGGCACGCTTATTAAAATGAAGAGAGCGGCTTCATGGCAAGCAGTCTAAGTAAATGGATGTCAAGCGATGGTGACTTCAAAGCTTTGGCTATTGATAGACAGCACTTACTCTGGGGCAAATGTCTGCGTCTTCTAACGGTTCGGATTTATTCCGCTTGAGAGTGGATGCCGTAAAGATCACTGTAAATTCTGTTGCAAAGAGAAAAGGGTTCATGAGGTGTAAAGCAACTATAAGTTGTTTGTATTGGCTAGAAATATGAGGCCGTCAGTGGTGTCAAAAATAGGATTTGGAGAATTCTCGCGCCTAGACTCATCCAGATTGCCAATACAAATCGAGGAAAGCGCTGGACGACCACTTCGTCCTATTGGAAGTTGTCATTGTCGCGCAGTCGCCGAATCCTGCCAGTGGCATAGATCGTGAAAGTACGGTGCTCACGCTAACCTCTAGAGATTCGATTTCCATTGCCATCCGCTACCAATCGAAGTGCAATGCAAGCCGCCGTGATATATCGTATTTATATGTCAATCATGGTGATCCGCTGCGGTAACCCACGGCACAGTGGCATTAGCCGCTGGCTCTTAAGAGTAAGGTCGTGAGATCGAATTTTGCAGTATTCGGCGGATGCGTGCTACTGACGTGTCCCAATAGGACGGGACAATCGTCTAGCGCTTTCCTGGATTTGTGGTGACCGTCTGGCTGAGTTTAACCGCGAGGAATCTTCTCAACAACACCGTAACGTCCCTATACTATTTAGGAATAAACAGTCACTGTACAAAACGCTCGCATGCTTTTGATAAAAGCTAAGGAGCGCATAAATATGATGTCGATTGAATTAACTTTGCTTGCATTAACTTTGCTTAATGTTGCAAATGCTTCAGTCAACCGAGCTGAGGTATAACTCACCGAAGGGTTTTCCATTCGCGAGCGTGCGATAAGGCACTGTGGAACACAGATTACATGTGCGGAAAGTGATGAACGGCAGTGCGACAATCGATATACGAATTCACCGCTAATTCAAAAGCTTTCAATGTTGCAAATTACATGGCTACTTAAAGAAAGATATTTGAACAACAAGCTTTGTGCATTTGTTATTTAGGTGCTCTTACAGACATGTAAAGCAATTTTATTTCTCCTTCAACTGAGTTTGTATGACGGTGGAATAGATAGACACTGAAATTTTAATAATGCCAGCGTATACCAACGCACTAGACTATAAACTTAAATTGCGAAAACTGCACACAAATTTAAAAATTTGAGAAACCGTGCACATTAAGAACGAAACTACCGCCTAAATTTGACCAGAAAGTTGGACGCCGTCTGGATGTGTAACTGCAAGGAAAATGCTCAAACGCACAGAAAGCCTTCTACTTCTCACTAATAGACTTGTCGATATATATATATATATATATGGCATCCGTTCTGTAAACAACTAACGTCGCAGAGAAAATGTGAAGTACATGCGTCCATCATCATTGGTCTTCCCGCTCCTCACACAAACGTTTGATGGGCTAATGCTGCTTAGATTAACTTTTTATGATCACAGGTAAGCTACTCGGTCTGTCGTCTCCTACCATGCAATAGAATAGGGAAAACTAGAGCTCCTCAGATGCACAATACAAGCAGATTAAGTGTGCTCCCTTCTTGAGATATTCCCTTCACCATAATTCCTCAGATGTGACATGCGACACAAGCTTGTAAAACAGGTTCCTTAGACTAAAATCTATGGTAAAAATGGAACGGTAAGTTAACGCCGAAATTTAATTGTTGTGCATACCATAGGAGGCGGCTTCCTGTCGTATTTGTATAGGAAATATGCAGCTACTCCTAGGCTGCTTCCATAATATTCCTAGCCTCAGTTCTGGAAATATTATATTCGGGTGTTCGACCACTTTTGCTGGCATCATCAAGTTCAGTTTTGTCAGAAACATCGAAGGAATTCCAACTGGATTTTTCAATGAATTCCACACGACATTTTACAACACCCTGGAATGTGAAGACAATAACGGATTAGCTCGATCAACGCGAAGGATATTGTGATTTGGTTATAACTAATGTTTGCAATTGCAAGGAAATTTTCTTAGGTTTACTAGCAGTTAGAAGCAAACAGGCATATTTGTCAAATATTCGTAGGCATTTGCATCCCAATTGAACTCTTGCCGGCTTAAGGTTAGTGCCACGTTATTTACTTACTTCCTGGTATGGGTTTTGTATCTGTGTTGGTGAAAATGTGAGTCAAAACACGTTACAGTTAAGCGAATAAAATATCATGTGTAACGTTTGTCTTTTGTTAACTACAAGTGGCTGATATGTGACTCTTCTGATATTCAGGCAATTAATGACACATAAGTAATCCTAACTGATAAGAAAGAATCGGTATACGAGAATTTATAATGTATTGTAAATTAGACATTTTCTGGTGCCTCATATTTTCCTCGTTTATGTCATATGAACAACCAAAATTCATTGATTTGAACATGAAATAGCTGAGCACAAAGGTTGAAGCGCATAGAATGAGATCCTTTCACAGAACTTTGCAAAACCTTCTTAGTAAAATGTTGGAGATATTTTGCCTTATTTTACAACGAAACGCAAGATTTCTTCTGCAGTTTGGCTGACGTGGTATGCGTGCAGCTCTTTTCATATATGGTCAAGTGCAACTAATCCTCCTTTGAATCAACTGTGTAGACGAAGTTCGACGCGCTGGTAGATTTAGTTGCATAACTACCAGTTACGAAAACCACGAATACCCAATCGCGAAGAATAGGATTGAGGTTTAGACTCACCCATGAATCCATTTGAACAAAGACATACTGAACATCTCTGAAGTAGCCCGTAGAATTTATACCTGTTCGAATCATTCGTGATTTCATATCCGTCGATCTAAAAGGGTGAAACTGTACCGACAGCCTTCATATGCTTTGGGTGCTCAGGCGCAACTTTAACACTTGATCCAAAGCGATTGCCCCCCGCCTCTTCGTCTGGATAATACGACCAATGCTAGAGTATGGTTATCTCGCGTATTTGCCCATCACTCGGACGCGGTAGAAAATATTGAGCGATTGCAGCATACGGCAACCACGCTGATATCTAATTTACGATATGTGCTGTTGGAAGACCGGTGTAAGATACTAGGGATTTCCACCTTAGCTTATCTTCGAGTACGGGTTGACATCATCATGACACACCGGATATTACATCTCGTTGCATACCCCATGTTGAGGCCTTTGCTAAATCAGCGCACACCAAGCAACACACGGGGACACCGGAACAAGCTTGTAGTACCGGATTTGAAGCGCGTCGCTCGCCAACTCTGTTTTGAACTGAGAGTGGTAAGTGTATGGAACAATTTGCCGCAGTACGTAGTTGGGGAAAAGTCGGTGTCGGAATTGAAGAACTTCCAGGACAAGCAAGTTACCGATCTAAAACATATCGGGCACACTCCAAGATAACGCGTCTTGCTGCATATGTGATATAACAAGCAGCTACACCAAGATATCTCTTTTTGTTGCTTCCAACCACTAATCAATTACCCAAGCAGTAGTCACCCAGAAATCGGATCCAAGTGTATCGGCCATAAGAAATCGATGTATACCTGGAGTAGGAGGAGATTTTTCTTAAGCATGCAACGCAATACCCCCTAGAATATTTTAAACTCTTTTTGGAACCAAATAGTAATGAATAGCTTGGAGGCCAATGATCAATTCATGTAGGATGAGCTACTGTCATATGAAATTGAACAGCAATTATAAACATCGTCGGTTGGTTGCATGTTGACATCTAAACAAAATACTCGACCTAGGATGCTAGTCGGTGGCAATTAGTGGATTTGCCGTGCATTTTCAGCTAATGATTCAACACTCCTAACAGTTTCCGCAATAGCACTGAATACCAAATCAAGTACACTAATGAGAAATCCTGGTTTGCGAAATACAAAATGCATTGCAGTTTCATTTTTGCTCAAAGTGATAGATTATAACTACACCTAATTGAGAACTCAGGAAATCGTGTACTTGCCTTGGAGAAAAAAATCGCGCAAATATCGGCCGTGCTTTCCTCGACTGGCATGACCGTGTCTACGTCTTGGAAAAATAATAATACAACACATTAGATTGTATAACGTTCAAACGCTTGATTGGGTATGTCGTGATTACACACACACACACCTATAATTCTAACGTGCAGCTAACTTTCACCTATGTAACTTCCATCATAAGAATATATATTAGCCAACAAATAGGACTGACTTCGTTTCGAGTGTTCGCAGCTGTGTATGGCGTTCGTTGGGAGTGTCATAGCGTTTCTAATGTGCTACCATGGGATTAACAACAAATGCTCTTAGCAACCAAAACGATTCAGACTCACGAATCCGCCTGTGGCCACCAGCTGTTACTTAAGGGGATCAGCATGAAGAAGCTTGTCAGTATAAATGCATAATTTTATGACAGGAAATGTTTGCACGGTATTTTGCTAGGCACAGTTAAAGCGATATTACTGAATCACTTATTCAGTTATTCCAATCGTTAAGTGGTTAAGAACATCTACTAACACTTGTATACATTCTCTTTAGCTGCTTCGTTTCTGCTTGTGTGGTAGTAGTAAATCTTTGAATGCAATTAATAACATCCACTTATTCTTCACTTCGATAACGTTACATGCTTCACAAATAACGGATCACTAACACTGCTTCTTCGGCCAATGGATTCCAACAACTTGAACAATAGTCGTGTTCGGATTGTAGGCGATATTTTTGAGATATCGCACTGGTCCGATCCAGTTTTCTGGATAATCCCACGTAACACTCTCTCTGTTGCCATGAATTGTTAAACAAGCATACATATTGGTCTGGTTTTCTATAGAGTCGCATTTCTTCTCTTTCATTGCGATACCATTTGTTGTGTTGTGGGGGAACTGGATAAGAGATTGGAAATGCGAAATGTGTATCAGAGGCTTTCCATCCGCGAGATGACGTTATATAAATGACGGCAATTTACAAAGCATGCAGGTATATTAGAGGGGAACTCAATGTATGGCATTTGAGAAAAAAAGGATGGATGTTTGATGGCGAATTAACATAGAACTGAATTAATTCTTCACGATTCTAAAATTAAATACTCAGCAGGTCCAGTAGGATGTTTAGGGTGGAAATTAAAATTAGAAAAGATGGGGCTTTTGAAAAATTGCAAAAACTAAATGGCACATCAATAGGCGTCCATTAGAACGGATGTGGGCATTTTTACCTTGAGTTTATGGTCAGTCCGTTATTTTGATATTTGTTCCGCACCAATATATGATATGAAACGTAGGTAGGATCTCATTTAGTGCACATATGTCAGTATGCCGTCAAATTGGCTTTTGAATACTAATACTAATACTAATACACTAATTACATTCAATGAAGGAGAGTTTCATAGCTGGACAGCGTGAGGGAGGAAGTTTCGTCGACCTTTCAGTCGGCTATAACCGTAGTCAGCTTAATCAGTTGACCTCACAGATGTGTGTTGGTTGGGTTTTAGAGATAGCATTATGTGCGTTTGTGATATCATAATATCTGGTACACCAATATGAGATTACCCTGTAGACGTCGATGAAGTCTTTCGTACACATATAGGGTATTCCGTTCGTCGGTACAGGGGAGGTGTAACAAAACGTATAACCTTTCGTCGTCCAGTGATGAGCACTCCCGAAACGCGGTTGGTTGGTGCTCCTGCCGCGGTTGCCACATTAGGATAGTGTATTCTAAGTGCTTACTGTCATACACCTCAAAACTTTGCGGAAAGTTTGGGGTGGCGAACTTTCCGAACTCACTTTGCAGAAGGCCGAGGTGACAATTTATTTTCCATGTGGACTTCCGGATTGCCTTTAAAGAGCGTTGGTTGTATTGTACGCTCACACCGGCGTCGCTCGTATCAGAAATGCGCTGTAAAATTTGTAGCCCCAGCAGTTTATGGGAGTGCTATTAGAGTGTATGGATAAGATGTGTTGTTGGCATTGAACTGGAAGATGTTCTCAATGGATTACGTGCGAGCTCTATCCAGATCACTTTACAGAGCTGCTTGCTGCTCCTCTGTAGTTATAGTAAGCAATAACTCTAGAGCATAGGCGAATAGTAGAAACATTGTAAAAAGGTCCCTTGTGAGGTTATTTATGAAGACAAATAACAGAGGTGGTAGGTTTATCTAGTAATAGGTTACAAAATTTATGAAAATAAAGGTACACGCTTTTTTGAACAGTGACTAGGAATATTTGGAAAATTTCCCATAAACGATCAATTGCTTCATATGAAGACCAAATTTGATGAGTAGGACTACTTACTAGAGCAAGAACAGTATCCTTATCGTCCGATGTGGTCAAAATTTCCAATTCGTATGCTGAAAAGACGATCGGTACTAGGCAGGGAAGTGGCCACATCCAAAGTACTGTGAAGATAACACGATAAAGCTTATGTTCTTGGAGAACTGCTTAGGTATATTTATGTGAACGTCAATTGCACACCGCATGCCTCACAGTACCATGTAATGCCCAAAGCGTTAATCTGTACAATTAAATTCCCTTGTGATTTCTAATTTACTATAAGTTTGCCACGTTGAATGAGACGAATCTCAGTTGATATAGGTCGACCAACGTGCACTATGATTCAGTTGCATAAGTTGCGAGTTAATTGGCGCAAGCTACTCGCGGACATTGCATCAGTTCCCAGAAGCAAACTGACCAAATGCGCATAACTGAGGATGCCTAATAAGGCAAAACCGTCCAGTGAATTTGTACGAATTGGATATTAAACCAAATGGCGTGTGAGCTATTTGGACGAACCCGTACATACCGAGTCAAACTACTAATTGTTAGAAATCTTTAGTAGTCCATGCGCGCGACAAACTGCGGCATCAAGAGTTGATTCACAGCGTCGTACACCTACAAACATGAATTCAATTGTGCCCACGTGGTGGAAAGTTTTAGGACATCCCAATATTTTAATGTTGTGCCCTTGCCGTAGATGAGAACCTTTGACAGTGAAGTTATGCAAAATCTATGCAAATGTCACCGAACCACAGTATACAATGAAGCTGCCAATTAGATTGGCTTGTGATTTGTCCGTTGCATCAGTTAATGGCATTCTGGTATGGTGTGCATGGAGAATTTTAAGTGATATAATATGTGTACTTGATTTGCAAAGGCATATCATTGACACAAAGGAAATATGTGCAGTTGTATGGCGTAGCAATAAGAAACGATCAATATGTTATGTTCCTTAAAAGAGCAAAATTTCAAAGACAGCGAACAGATAGCATGAGCGCGTTAAGCCGTGCCGCGTAATTTGCAGTGACTCACAAACGTCAGATATATTAATTGGAGGGTCAAGTTTGGATTACACGTTGTGTGATTGGATTGCGACACGCAACCTCA